GCACGGGGTTGGCGGTGCGTCCGCGTTTGCATAACCCGCTCGCTGTCGGGCCGCTGGTTGCGCGGTATGCCGCGGAGGCAGTTCGGTTGTCTGTCGGGACGCTGGTGGAGCGTACCGAGGAGCCGCGGTTTTATCTACGTCGTGCGCTATCTCACGTAGATCGGCGAAAGACGCTGGGTGCATTAATCGTATCATAGCGCGGTAATCGTCCCGTAAAAGCCCCGTTTACTGTCGCACAAGTTGTTGTTCTGGTAACCCACAACGTACTCGCGCGGCCAAACGCTGTTTATGAATAATAAATTCGGTTAATGTTTGTAGGGGGCCCTGTCGCGTTGTTTTTAGATCCGTCTCGAACGCAGTCCAGATATCGACATTGTCCAACTCCTCGAGTAATTCGGACCTAAATTCCGTCCATGGCATATTATTTAATTTAATCGCTCGCCACCAATCGACCTGCCCTGTCGTTCGAAAACGGGACGACGATGTTCACCCACGCAGTTGGGTGTATACCGCAGAGTAGATCCTCCGCTCTGTCTAGAAACTCCCGTGGGTCCTCTTCGTTTCTCCCGTAATATTCAGGTAAACAGGCGCGTACGGTGCGTAGGTCGTGGTAAGGTACCAGTACAGACCGCGAGCTGCGGGTAGGCGACTAATCATTAATTGACCGACGACCGTCGGTTGGGTTGAATTGCCCCTCCCGTTATTGGCGCGTAAACGAAAAATCGGTCGGCTCGTTATCATATGTATGCGTGCGCGGATAATGTTCGTCTTGCCAACCCGTGCTACACATCCGTGGTAGCGACGCGCGTGACGCTTGTCCGTACGACCGTCTCATGTTACGGGCTTCTTGTGCTTCGATGTCCGCTAGGCGCTCGTGAAGTGTTGCGTCGTTTTGCGTCGGGTCCGTCGCTCCCGATGGACCGAATGTAACGCGATGCGCGTCTGTTCTTCGACTATCATTTCGCTCTACGTTAACTTGTCGAATAGTCGGTTGTACAGCAACATGTGTGGACGGCGACATATTTTGACTGATTCGCTCAAGCATGTTTGAAATCCGTCGCTGTTCCATCGACATACGCGACAGCGACCTTTCTAATTCAGTCATCCGTGCCTCGATCCGCGCGTTATTCGAAATGTCGCGAATGTTCTGTCGGATCGCCCCGACTTGTTCTGCCGCGTGCACTATCGAGCGGGCAACGTACACGTCCTCAACGTACGACGCGCCTAGTCGTCCGCTTGCGCGCGTAATTTCCTCCGGTTGTTCGACATCAGATTCGTCGTCTGTTGTGCGTAGCGCGAGGTTCACCGGATGTTCCTCCACGCCGGACCGCTGATTGTTCGCGTCGAGTTCACAGATACGGTCCGTGGAGTTGTCTAACACCCCCACTTCGGGTTCGCGGACCGGAATTTCGCTATCAAGCGGCGTACGGGGTGGTAAAATTTCGGTAGCTGGATTCCTCCCTTCGCTACGTATGTTTTCCTCTAGCATAATTAGCATGTTGGGTTTCGTCGCGTGGCATGGTAGCTGTCTAAAAGCGCATTCGCGACGTAATTCAGCGCAATTCATTTGTGCTTATGATTTCCCCGACATATTGACCGTGAATATTATGTTTATTTACAAATCCTAATAATCAAATGTATGCTACGTTAATACCGGAGATAAACAATATCTCCGTGTACGGTCAAATTTGCTACTGCAGTAGAAAACAGGTGTTATTATTATTACTATTGTTGTAATAAAGTACCGTGATAAGATGGTATGGGGCCGCCGTATATGATATGGCAGCGAGTGAACAATAATAATAACGGAGACAACCGAGTGTCATATTAATAGCTGGACGACTGATATCACGAGAGACAGGGGTGAGCACCAGTCTAAAGCGACGGGCGGTGCCGTGTCATGGTATATTTGTTAGAAACTCTCTTAAAACAAAACTGGATAGATTGCTTATTATGATATTTTTCTAAAGAAAATAAAACTTCTTTCATAAATTTTTCCATCGGAACAATTTCATTAATTTTTTCTAATAGTTTGACTATACAATTGTGTGCACAACTCAAATCAGAATTAGTAACTGAAAACAATGTTTTATTTTTAAATTAAATAATGCTAAGAACATTATAGTTAAATCTTGAACGTAAGAAAATCCAAGAAATATTGACACGTGAAGTATGAAAATATTGCAATCGTATAATATTATATGGTTATTAATTAAATCGTTCAGATTAATATCTTCACCCCAATGTATAATACATTCGGCATTATTTATATTTTTGTATCCTGGTTTATGTAGTAATTTATTTATTATTTTAGCAATTTTTTTATGTATTATGTGTTCCTTCAGTGTGCAAAAAAAGAAAAAGAATACAAAAGAAGACTTCGATATTTAGTGTTATTATTATTTTCATTTTCGATAAGATATAATACTATTTTCTTATTCAGAGAAAAAAAATAGTACGAAATGTTCTCTATTTAATAGTGATATAAAACTTTATAATTTTTGCACTAAAAAAAAAAATTAGTAGAAAATTCCGATAGTATTACCAAAGAGTATTAAATTATTTTAAAATCTAAAAATTAAAATTTAATAATAAAAAAAAATATATATATATATATACTAAATACTATAATATATAGTATTACCTTATTTACAAAAAAGAAAACGGTTAGAGCATTACTCCTTATAAAGTTTCACCTAATTGATATGGACTTAAATTTTCTTTCGTTCATTTTTTGTTATATTCTCTTCTATGTTGGTAAGTCCCACGACGTTTGGTTAAATTTGCATTGCTAAGAAAAAAAAAACTTATAAATTAATGACTAATTTTAATTTCGCACTCCAGAATAACTATTAATCCATACAGAATAATGAAATAATCTTATTTAGAAATAAAAATTATCTAATAAAACTGTGTCCAGTTTTTTTATTTTGTACTAAATTATAGCGCAATGATACATTTTATATTCAGTGATAATTCAACAAATGCTTATTCACTGGATCTAAAAAAATATTACATTGAAGTCCTATAAATATATTCACATTTTATGGCTATCAATTTTATCTAATTATATTAATTTTTTCGTATATTATTTAGAAATAATAATAAAATAAAAAAATGTATTATGTCTGTAATACTTTACATAAACGCAAACAACTACTACGCTCAGTTCTCCATACATTTCTTTTATAATAAATTCATTTATAAATTTTACTTATGAATTACAATTGTTAATAAAAAAAATGGATAAATATTAGGGATAATATTAGGGACACTAATAAAATGTATTGTTAGTAATAGTTAATTGAAGAGTGAATGTGTCAAACGTTCTATGTGCCAAAAAATTGAAAAATTGTTTTATTTCTGATTTATGTTCTATAAGCCAAAGGTCACAATCTTGTATGTATTTTAAGTGTCAATTAAATTTTTTACTTGTACAAAATTGCGTTCACAGATTGTAATTGTTTTGTGAGCATGCCCTTTGTTACCTGTACGTTCTAAGTGCCTTGGACGAATATAATAGTTTGACGATTACAATATTATAATATAGTCCGTTATATTTCAAAATAACTAATACTGGTGTTGTTGTATTCGTTAAGTTTTCTTTTTCATTTGTTTAATTGTATTATTATGGATACTGAAAGTATACATATTTTACGAAGTGGTAAAAAAAGAAGAAATGATCAGACTAAAAAAAGAATTAGTGGAAAATCGTATGCGACCAGGAAAAGCAATAATACAATTCAGGAAAGCCGTCAACTTAGTTGTTATAACTTTGGAATACATCTCGGTGACAGCAATACAGCCTTTATGTATATGTGGGATGAAAGTATTGCTTCTCGTGGAAGCTCAGAAATCGCTTCTTGTCTTTTTAAAGTTATTAACAAAAACGAAAATACGATAAATCGCAAAAAACTAATTATATGGTCAGACAACTGTGCTGGCCAAAATAAAAATAAAACGTTAGTAGTTTTGATGTTATATTTAATAAATATGGGGATATTTGATGAGATTATACAAAAATTTTTGATAAGTGGCCACTCTCTCTTGGCTTGTGATCGTGATTTCGCTATTATCGAAAAGAGACGTAGAGTTTTTCAAAATTTCACTCCTTCTGATTTACAAGAAATGGTTAGAGCAGCGAAGTTGATAAATCCATTTCGAGTTATTCCGATGGATGAAAACAACTTTTTTTCATTTAAAGACATTGCTAACAATTTTTTTAACACAACCAAGTTTCCAATGTTCGATGATTAAAGTTTCATTTTTAACTCCCAAAAAAATCTATTATAAAAAAACATTTTCAGATGAAGAACTTTGGAAAGATTTTAACGTTTTTAAAAGAAATGCTACTATAGACGAACTTAAAAATCAGACATTTATACCTATACCGAAACCCACATTGTCGTCAGAGAAGAAAAAAGATTTGTTGGCCATGATTCCTTTTTTACCTGATAAGCAAAGAAACTTCTATAAAAATATAACGTCATGAATTAATTTTTTTTGCTATTTATTATGATGTTGCTATGTTCTAATTATGTTTAATCTAAATTTTTTTTTAAATTATTATTAGGTTTGTTAATTTATTTTTCAATTTGTGATACTCAAGAAAGCTACTGTTTTCTTTTCTTGTTACATTTTTATATGAAGAAAAAATTTTATTTTACGTTTTGAGATTTACTGACAATGTCATGTTAGATTAAGAGTATTTTTTATTTAAGTTTGTACATTTATTTTTCAATTTGTGATACTCAAAAAAAGTGTTGATTTTTTTACATATTTTATAAAAATATATATGAAGTCTTAATAAAATAAAGAATGATTTTCTGTTATCTATAATAAAATATTGGTACTTGGAACGATAATATTATCACATTATTTGAAACTTGGAACTTTAATATTATAATACTTGGCACTTGGAACTGTCATTAGCAAATGTTTAATTTATACTAATATGAAATGACAAAATAAAATAATAGAAATTTACGAGGCTATTAATATAGTGTAAATATAGCATAACATGTATTTTTATACAAAATTATAAGAAAATTTTTAATTTGTGATGTTTTTTGTGTTTTCTGAACAAATATTTTTTTGGCACATAGAACGTTTGACACATTCACTCTTCAATTGTATTTTCATATTTAATAATAAAATAATTCATATTAATTAATTTAAAACAATTATTTTAAATAGTAACGGAATAGGTTAGAAATTTATCACATTAAAATTAACTTAAATAAAGTTATAAAATGGTCTCGTATCATCAGTATATTTGATTTGTAAGTTTGAATCATCTGTTTCTTCACAAATAACATCTAATTTTAAACAAAAATCAATTATTAAAAAGTCATTAAAATTCATAAATTGATTAAAATACAAATATTTTTTTAATATTAAATATTATAATAATTAAAAACTGAAAGATTATTTCAAAAACAACAATAACTCTTTTTCCCTTAATTTTATCCTAATTAGTTATTTGATTTATAATTTTTATATATGAATAAATAATAATTTTAGTAATTAAATTTAGTATGAAATTGATATTCAATAATTTTATATTGTAATTTTTACGAAAATATTATAAAAATAATAAAGTAGTATATTGCTTTACTTTTAACGCGTCTAAAAATTTAAAGGGCTTCATGCAATACTTTTCAATACAAAATTTATATTACTAATAACAAAGTTATAAGTTTTTTACACTGGAATACAAAAAACTTTCATCAGAAACAAAAATATAATTTTCTAAATCAACATTTCGCGATGTTTTCAAATGTGCAATTGGACTTTTTCTATCACTTCTAAGTTTTAATATTATTACTTATTATTAAAAATTTAGTATTTACGTATATAAAAAAAAAATAATTAAGAACAAAATAAAATTGTTTTAAATTAATACTGATTTTGATCATTAATATGTTAAAAATAAGGAAAATGACATATTTTACCTATTTTTTTTATCCTTTTATGTTGATTTTTGTGAAAGTTCATTGTAAAAAAAAGAATTTAAAACCATAATTTTTAGCTCAATTGCAAGTTTGAAATTGATATCATTAAATAGAACATTTTATGAGAATTAAAAAATTGTACTGTTTAGATTAATATGCAGTTAGGAAGTTTTATAATTACTATTCATAGTAAATCTCATTTTTATATCTATTTAATATCTTCAACTAAATGCCAATTTGACGTATCGTTGAAAAGTTATAAAAAAATATTTTCCAGAAGTTATAGTAATATAAAATATAAAATCGAGAATTTTTTCACGGAAATCGTACGTTTTTCTTGAACTTTAATGTCCGTTTTCACTACGAAGATAAATCCAGAAGTCAATTTTATTTTTTTTAATAAAGTAAATTACATAAGCTTTAAGTTATATACTTTCAATTTCAAAGTTCTTTTTCTCGACTTAAAAAAAGCAAAAAAATTTAAATAAGTTTAACTTTCTATGCTATACCAATTTGATTTATATAATATTTATGAAAATCAGTGTACTCCCCTTATCAAGTATAAAATAAAATACAAATCCCAGAATTTTAACACAAAAATAGCATATTTTTGAATACGGTAGTCATTTTCACCAAGAAGTCAAGTCCAAAGGTCAATTTATTTTTTCAAATTGAAGTACATAACATAAGCTTTAATTTAAAGTATATATAACAGTGTCAGTCTTCCTGGAACATTTTCAAAAGTTAAGTTAAAAAAGTTCTACTCTCTATACAAATTTTTAAAGGTTCGAATTCCCTCTGTAAAAAGGGCAATGGTCCGATTTAAAAAAAAAGTATGCCGAATGAAAGATATATATATAAAATAATTATCATTAAAGAATAGCATTAATTCTTGCATTTTTTAAAAAGTTATAGCAACATAATGTTACAAAATGTAAAATATAATATCAAGAATTTTTTCACAAAAATAGCATATTTTTGCATACGGTAGTCATTTTCACCACGTAGTCAAGTTCAGAGGTCAATTTTTTTTTTCTTCAAAATAAAGTATATTACATAAGCTTTAATTTAATGTGATATAAAAGTGTCAGTCTATCTGGAACATTTTCAAAAGTTAATTTGAAAAAAATAATTTTTTGTGAAAAGGTTACTATTTTGAAACCCTTCCTGTGGGCTGGTCAAATGATCACAAAAAATATATAAAATGATAAGTAAATACCTAAGGTATCTATAAAAAAAATTATATTGATTCGGTAATTTTTGAAAAAACATATGTCAATTTTAAGTAAAAAAAATGTCGAATATTAGCGATTTTTATATTTGTAATTTTTTGGGGGATTTCCCCCGTATACAGGGAACGAGTAAATTTTTTTCAAATTTTGAGGGTAATGTCTTCGACTAAATACGATTTGTGATCTTTTGACATATTGTTCATCAAAATCGGTCCAACAAGAGCTGAGATTGAGCGTTCACAGGCACAAAAATGAAAAATAAAACACATCATAGTAAAATTAATACCTTTTCAGCTTCGCATCGAGCAAAAAATGATTAGCTAAATGATGATTCAAATTGGTTGAATAAAATAATAGCACAATATTATACAACCATGGTGACAAATAAAAAAAAAGATTATGTACAGTTAATTTAATATTTAATATATTGTATATTATTTAAGTGAGATTGTAAAATAAGAAAAATTGTACTATAGTGTATATAAAATGAGGACCCTCGTGTTGAATCGCTTCCTGTTTATCTACTTCATTGGTATGTTGTATTAAATTTATAGAATGATATTGTGTAATATCTAAATATATTACAATGTTTTTTAGCTTAATTTTAAAATTATTTAAATGATGCACAGTAGTGTATTATGAAAATTTTACCATTTTGTTGAATTTCATCGTGCACATTTTCTTCAAAGGTTTGTAGTGTTAAATTTAAGGAAAGATTTTGTGAGACATCTAAATACATTAAAAATATATAAATAAATAAGTAAATAAATATAAATAAATACATTTTGTAAACTTTTTAAAATAAGGAATATAATGTAATTATTTTGGAATGATAAAAAACCTGAAGTTTCAATTTGTTCGCATATTTTTGTCTACAATTAGTGTACTCTAGTGTATTATAAAATAATCACCTTCCTTTATAATGCCATCTTGTTTATTTACTTCATTGGTAGATTGCATCAAATTTATAAAAGAGTACTGTGCGATATCTAAAAATATTAAAATGGCTTTTAGCTAAATCATAAATTATAATTATATTTTCAATAGTATATAATCAAAACTTTACATTCTTGTAGAACATTTTTAATCACATTTACTTCATTTATATGTTGTATTAAATTTATTGAAGGATTTTGTGAAATATCTAAAAATATTTAAATGGTTATTAACTCAATTTAAAACTCATTTATATTAAATTAAGTTTTTAATACAGTAATGTATTAAGAAAAAATTACCATGCTGTTGAACCATTTGTAGCATATTTGCTTCATTGGTATGATCTATCAAATTTATTAGATTTTGAGTGGTATCTAAATATGTTAATAAAAAAATAATTTTAATTCAGTTTTATATTGTTTAAATAATTATACCTTCAATTTCATTAGTAGGTGGAGTAGGTAAAAAAGTCCGACTTGTATTCAAATCAAATTTAAATCCAAGTTCAATGTACTTTTTCCAGATTGTCGTTAAAATTAAATCTTTGATTTTATCACTAAGTAATATGTATAATTCTTCATATATTCCTTGAGATTTTAATGTATCAAATTCCATAATCCATAAATTCCATAATGAATCCAAATCTAAGGATTTTAGTTCGCAATATGATAAATCTTCTTCAAAATCACATTTCCTATCGTGTATAAATACATTGATACTCAATAATGTATCTCTGATGGTATCAATACTGATACCGGAAGGTACAAATTTGTTTAATTTTTCATTTTCTTGAAGATTTGTTAGAACTTTTCTTAAAATAAAACTGTTTCTTTTTCGTTTGTCCATCGGCAAAGTATGATGTTTTTCTATAGCATATAAAGCTCCTATCATAAATTTTGCCATCGGAACAATTTCATTAATTTTTGCTAACAGTGTGACAGTACAATTGTATTTCTGATACCAGTTACCAGTAAAGAATAGCTGTAAACAATGTTTTTGAAAATTTGATAATACATAAAACATTATATTTAAATCATGAGCGTAAGAACATCCAAGGAATATCGTTGCTCGCCGGATGAAATTGTCGCATTCGTTTCTTGTTACAGTTTGATTAATCAGCTCGTTCAGTTTATGCTGTTTGCATCGATAATAAATATATTCGACATCATTTATATTTTTCCATCCGGGTAGATGTAAAAGATAATTTATTGTAACAGCGTTTATTTTTTTATTAGTCATTCCTTCAGTATACACAAAAGTGAGAAATATACAAAAATATACTTGAATATTTAGTGCTATTGCTATTTTCATTATCGATTTGTTATAAAATTATTTCCTTATACCACGAAAAAATTCATCTTACAAAACTTGTTTCGATGGTATAATGATAATTTATAATAATTTATTTTACTTCCATACTAAAATAAAAGAACTAGCAAAAAATGTCGATTATGTATATATAGGTGTTTATAGTATTAGTGAGAGAAGGGGACAGGATTACTATGTTTTAATCATGGCGTCTAAAATTATTATTTATATCCATAAAATATAATTCTGAACAATTTTCAAACAAATAAATTATAGCAATATTAGATCTTTGGTAAGCACATAAATTTATTGCCAAACATTAGGATATATTTGCTTTATTGAAATTAATTTTATATTATTATAATTAATATTTTTAATTGATTATTTTAGATAAAAGTAACCTTATATTTTAGTAAATATTATTCCATAAAAAATGTATTTTTTTAATGTTTGATGATTAAAAAAAAATGTTTAGTCCCCCGGTGGATTTTATTGGGCTGACGACCAAACATGTCGTCAATTTAAATATACTATACTATACTATAATCGTGCCGTGACCCCACTGTGCTGGGTTTTTTTTTCAAATTAAAGTGTTTTAGACTTTGTTGATTAACTTAGTTATAATTTATTTTTAAGCTGCTTGTTAATCATTATGTTTAAAAACTAATAATAGATGGTTCAATTACACTTCTAAAGTTTTTATAGCGATATTTAAATAAAATAATTTTACTATAAAAAGTAGAACTATTTCAACTTATTTTTTGAAAGTGTTCCTAAAATTTAGTATGGAAAAAAAAAATGTCGAATTTCATTTTGTCTTCGTGGTAAAAATGTCTACCGTATGCTATTTTTGATTTAAAATTTTCGATTTTGTATTTTAATTGATTTTAAAATACTTTGGTAAAGTTTTATCTCATTTAAATTCAATAACTTTAATAAATATCATAATTATGTTACTCATGAAATTATTCAAAAATAAAAGAATATTTGTATTCCTTTTTGACTTGAATAATGGCAAGAACTATCAAACTTGTTAGTTTTATACTTAGAAATTCATACATGTGTTTATATGAGTACAGAATTTATATTACTTTATAAATTTAATTTTATTACATAAAAATGTATGAACTGAAAAAGACTTTTTTATTAAGAATAATATTTTAAAAATTGTTATTAAGACATATTGTACCTATAATTGTTTTATTTATAACCATAAAACATAATGATTAACAAGCAGCTTAAAAATAAATTATAACTAAGTTATTCAACAAAATCTTAAACACTTTAATTTAAAAAAAAAACCCAGCACAGTGGGGTCACGGCACAATTTAAGTATAGTATAGTATAATTTGGGTTCAGTATAGATGATATTTGACAGTGAAAACGTTTCGATTCAAATCTGTTGATAGTCTTTACTTTTAAGAAATTAGTGGTTGATTAATCTAAAAGCAAAATGAACTTCTTTTTCCATCGTTATTTCTAATTAGTAGTTGATATTTAACATGTTTTATTATATTTAAATGTTAAGTATGATTTACGAATAAATATCTAATAAAACAATTCAACGTAGTATGAAATTGATATTTAATAATTTAGTATTGTAATTTTTTCGATGAATATATAAAAAATTATAAAATAGTTAATAATTTTATAGAAAATGTGTATAAAAATTGAAGAGCTTGACACAGAACTTTTTAGATAATAATTTGTTGTTAATTATAATTAAATGGTCTGCACACAAATTTCATCTTAGTCAAAAATAAACTTTTATTATTCAATTTTTCATGTTAATATCAAATCACCAATCATACGATTATCATCGTCTATTGATAATACTCGTGAGTGAATTGTAATCATAAAATATTATAAACAGAGTGTGTTGCTCTACCATGTGGAAATATGTCAAATGTCGTTATAACCTAACTTCATGAGTAGCCTACGCTTGTTAAACAAGTAATACTATATGCGCTATGTCGTGTAGCTTAATCAGTGATTATTGTACTTGTCCCTTAACATGTCGTGGTATCCGCAGAGACGAATCAATTAATATCATTAAGAGATATAAAATGTATTCATTTCGATTACGAGGGATGATTCCTGTGTTGTCATTTTTCATCACTACCTCCACGTGTCGAGAGTGGGTAATTTGTGTGCCTGCTACTTTCCTTGGATGTGGTAGCCGTTTTTCAGACTCCCTCTCCGGAATCGAACCCTGACTCCCCGTTACCCGTTACAACCATGATATTGATAGTAACTACAATCATAACTTATGAAACTAAAAAGTAAAAAATAAATATAGTTTAAAAAAACTAAAAACACGCTTTTAAAGCACATCGAAAAAACATTTTTTTCATGAAAAGTAGTATTTATATACATCTTTTATTCGACATACTTTTTTTTTTATTCAGACCATTTCCCTACATAGGGGGGGGCTTCAAATCTCAAAAATGCATATAGAAAGTAGAACTTTTTCAACTTAACTTTAGAAAGTGTTCCGGAAGGTCTGACACTTCTATATATATCTTAAATTAAATGTAATGTAATATACTTTAATTTGAAAAAAAAAAATTTGACCTCTGGACTTGTCTTCGTGGTGAAAATAGACATCAATGTTAATAAAAAATTACGATTTTTGTAATATAATTCATTTTTATATTTTTAACTTAATAATGCTATAACTTTTCGGAAATAGTATGGATCAGTAAATTTTTTTTTTATAGATGCTTGATGTCTTTACCTATCATTTGGCATATATTTTTTATAAATCTAACCCTTTATCTGCCCAAAGGGGGATATTTAAAATTACAACATTTTCACAAAAAATTTACTTTTTCAACTTGAATTTTGAAAATGTTACGGAAAGTCTGACATTTTTATTTATATCTTAAATTAAAAATAATGTAATATACTATATTATTAAAAAAAAAAATTTTGGACTTTATTTTGTCTTCTCGGTGAAAATGGCTACCAAATGCTATTTTCGTGTGAAAATTCTCGATTTTATTTTTTACATTTTTAACTTTATAATGCTATAACTTATTGAAAAGTGTATGGATCAACACAATTTTTTTACGAGAATTAATATTTTTTAATAATCTCTTTTTCATTCGACATACTTATCTTAATCAAGATATTAATAAGAAACTATCAGATCTTGTAGCTTTTGGAATAATCCACCAATTTTTTTAAAATTAAACACCATCTAAAGATTTGCATCGAAGCGTTTTTTTTTTTTGATAGTGATTTTATTCACTGTAAGATATCAATATACTTGACTCAACTATGCCACGTCACCACTGTGCCGCGACCCCCCTGTACTGGGTTTTTTAGTTTGACGATCTAAATAAATTTTTCATCATTTATACAAAATATAAAAAACTTTTATTTAATGTAAATTGTAATAATCAAAAATATATAGATATGGGACGTTGTATGACTAGACTCGGATTATTTGGGGATTTTATCAATTGGTGAGCATCAAGGTTCTACCGGTGTTGTAGAAGTGAAGGGTTTAGAACAATAAAGACATATAGATATAAAATGAAAATATATAACATATTTTTATTATTATTTATTGTTATTAAATAATTATATATTAAAAATCACGCATGTGTATTCAAAATTAAAATTTGAATAAAATAATTTAGTTAAAGTACTGTCGTCACTGGTTTGGGTTGTGCGGGTCGCGTGTTCTGAGGCGCTAACTATTTTAAGTCAAATAAACAAATCTATGCGTTCACAAATGTATGTGATTATACTATTGATATTGTTTTTTATAAAATTTAAACTCAGTAATTTAACCTTAAAATAATTTTAAAAATTTTATGTCATATTTTATTATAGTGTATAAATATATTGCTGAAAACTGAAGAAAAATATTTAAAAATTCTAATATATTCTGTTAATTGGTAATAATATTGTTAATTTATTGAGTTACTTTAATCTGGTGCTAATAAGACTCGCAAATCATTAGCATAACTAGAACAGATTATAGAGCCCTAGTCCGAGCCGTATTTAAGGGCGATATTGAGTGCATTACCCCGAGAGGAGCTAAAATTTGAATTAAAAAATATATTAAGAAAAAAATTAGAGATAAATTTTTTTTATGAGCAAAATAAAACGGACGGATAAATTTTTCCATCAATTCACTAACATCATAAGCTACTGGACAATCTACTTTATTTAATGCCTTTTTATATCTCCAAGAAATATCAAATCCCTTTGCCCAGTTTTTAAAAAACAAATTATCCGTAATAATAGATTTCGCCACACCTGCGTCAATCTCCATTTTCACCAATATATTACTAATCTTTACAAAAATAAATTCAGGTGGTACTACACTACTAGCTATATTAAACAAGTTAAATTCATTAATATTATTTACCACATTACTTACATTACGTGTATTAGCACATATTACTGCCAAGTGTCTAATTATAGAATAAATTTTACACTTATTAGTTTTGTACTTACATTGCGCAAAATTGTAATTCACCTTCCCACAATGACAACAATTTAACTGCTTAAAACCTTTTGATTTTGAAGTTGAACCTTTTTCAGTAGTCCAGTTATCTTGCTTGGCCAACCCTTTGTTAATCTTCTTTTCGACAAAATTTTTTTTATGATCAAGATAAAACGGACATTTATGGTGGCAGATTGAGTGCCTCGGGCGATACAATTCTTAAATGAGGTTTGGTCCTAGCTGATATATTAAACCCCCGAAAATTGTTTAAAAATTATGTTTTTAATATTCGGGATAATTTCAAAAATATTTTTTTGTGTATGCGTGAATAGTCTGTTTTACATTTTTCCTGTACTTAGGTTTCATTTCATTTCCATAAAAAGTATACAAAAAAAAGCCTATTGATATAAGCATTAACACTATACATTTCATTAGGATACGTATCATTTGAAATAGTTATAGTTTTAAAACATTAGTATAATTTTTGTTTTAGTTATTATAGATGTGAGCAAGTATTACTCGTGCACTCAGACCTATAGGGCCATTGTGCGCAGAAAGATATTAGTATAAATAGTAGTTTTTAATTTACGTTCAGCATGATATCAACATATATTGGGACAATAACTTTTCAATCTAAAATAAAACTTGCTAAATATAATCAGAGAAATTTACAATTACCTATTTGTTCATATTATCCCACTTAACTCTGTATAACAAAATTTAATTGATGCATTTAAAGTTGTCTAGTTTTCCACATTTTCAAAAATTAAAATGAAAAAAAAATTTGTACGCATTGGTGATTGCTTTCGAACTCTTTTTGTATTTAATTAAATTTTCATAAGAATCTAATGTAATATGCTGACGCACTGCATCACAAATCTTACACTTGACTCTTACAATGGATTTAGAAACTTTTTTTCTTGTTTTACGGCATATATTATTATCTTTAATTTCCCTAGAAATTTTTTCTCGATTTTGTTTTATGTGTTGGTTATAATTTACGATAACTATTTGTAATACATAAATTTCTTGAGCCCTCGGGGACAGGGTTGGACTCTTACTCTTTCCCTTGACATGTTATTAGATATATATGTATAAATGGTATTATTTGGTGTAATTATAAATTATAAAATAAAAAAATATAATTTAATTTGTTCAATACCTATGTACAAAAATATGTCTAAAACGTTTTTAGTGATGTATTATTATAATTTTTTGTTCAAAAATGTCTGATTCTTATATGCTTTTTGACTCCAGTCCATGTTTACACGAAGGGATTCTACTGTTTATATTATGAATGTTTTATTGTCTCAAGGATTAATGTGCACTACGCATACACACACTATCACACACACGCGTACATATGGGTGTTGTAAACTATTAAACACACGAGACACATACGTTAACACATGTTAGGATTGAATCGGCATTTGTTCAGAAAATAAAACGTTTTCTTGTGTATTTCAAAGTCCGCATGACAGTAGTAATTTGTAGTACCTTACCATACATATGGACACGGGTGGTCTGCGGCTGTCTTTTGTAATCATAATGGACAATATTGAATGGTTCAGTCAAAATATTGTATTTTTTTTATTTACAGCGTTTATTATAAAATACATTTCTCAGAACTAAATGACAAAAATAAAAAATCTTAATTAATACTTAAACTTTAGAGAATAAATTGAAATAAATTAGTTTAATAACACAATTAAATTTGATTACGATTAAAAATTAATATTAATCTCAGCCTTACAAACACAATAGATATATACACTAAGTACTAGAAATAGACATGTTCAGAACTTTAATAATTGTTCCAGTGAAGGAAAAATCACAAACAAAACAATAAGAAAGACTTGGAAAGTTTTTTGATAATAAATGAGCATAGTTAACTAACAAACCATTCAAATCCTAACTCAATCGAACATAATTTAACCGAGTGTAATAAAGTTTAAACGTGCTCAGTTGTTTTTACCGATTTTCAAATAAAACTCGATGCTACTCTTTATTTAGAATGATTCACTGGTTAATTAATTGTTAACAGAACTTAGGGCAATCATAGTAATGGTGCAAGCCTATGTGTTGCGTTATGCCATTAGTGGTGTTCATGGTATTTTCCAGAGATGGCTGTTGCACTTGTCCGCCGGTCTGTCTTCGCATGGCCACGTTGTAGCCTGAAATCGTCAAAAAAAATAACTTTAGAATAATAAATAGCAGAAGACAAATTTTAGTACATTGGATTTGATTTTTTAAGCTCAGGTTTAAAAATAAAACAACTGCTGTTGGACTCGTTCGTATCTTTCACACCCACTTGTACCTTTTTTGACTTTTGGCCAATGTATAGCGAATCGATGGTCTACGGTAAGAAAAAAATAAACTTGAAAGGCAAAAATATGTCATCGCATATTTCACGGGTACACAAGTGGTTTTTTGACAAGGCCACGTGCGTTTTTTTAGGACCTACGCGATCGGTGACGAAACCTCTTGACCTAACACACGACAGTAATTAAATACCTATTTAATGCACGTCGTGTACGACCGCGTCCCCTTTTCCCAACCGCTATAATGTACACGGGCTCCCGAGGGGTGGTCCAACATGATCTATCATACGATCAAAACAATATGAGAAACTAATAGTAGTAGACGTAGACGTTTGCGGTCGTCTGTTTGGGCCCTGGAAATACGATGCGTAGTATATACTACGCCTATATAATATTATATAGGCCAAAACGACAGATACGTATCAATAAACTAAAAAACAGTCGTTTGACCTAAAAAACCTAGCGGGATATTTTTTAGGATCCGTTACAATCAACACCCGTTTATTGGAGCCATTGTATGCGATAGAAAATTTGACCGTCTTTTTCCTTACTGTGAAACCGCATTGAGTATATTTGTAAACAATACAATATTATACGCTGTGTTCACGATTCCATGTATGTTCTGCCTTTTTTTTAATGATGACACGAATAATTTATTGTTATGTAACTTCTAAAACGTTCATTTATTACAATACAAAAAGGATAACGCGGCATAAAAATGTTGGTGAAATAACCCGAATTTAGTGTCACTACTTGATCCACATGAGAAAGTGTTAAATTCCAGTAACGTCATTATTTATTGAAATAAAATTATCCTTTTTAATTACAGCTTTTATTATTAACCAGAGAAGCTATTTACTTAGATTTCACGTTATGCTAATTCCGTATAAGGAACAACGGCGGACACAATTGTATTAGACTTTCATCTAAAAAAGGTGAACATTTGTTGCACGATAATAATCGTAAAAATAAATTTTAAGTGCCAAAGCCATTTGGATTTAATAGCCGAGTAATCTTAGTATCCTTCTACTTAATTTTATTTTATTGTAAAGCAGGGTATAGTGTTAACTAACAAAATACAAAAATAAATATCACAATGAGACAATATCAAATTTACATTAATATCGACTCAAAATAGTAAATTATAATTTGATGTTAGTATCAAATATTACCAATAAAATTATTATACAAAATCAATAATTCAGTGGTCTATTTCCAAGAGATTTTTTTTAGTGGAAGATTGTATTTAATATTTTTCAAGTTAGTAAATTTTTAATTAATAATGAATAAAGTATAGTTTATAAATACTTTTCAAAATGTAAAAGGTGCAAAGTAATACATAAATAAATAAATCACAAGCACAACTGCTTCTTCATGATATAAATTTTGAACTCGAAATTTGTATCATTTAGGCCCTATTGATTTGTATTTAGTTCGGTTAGCATTTTTAATTAATACAATCTGTATAATAGTCCTTTTATATATTTACTAGATTTTTTTTTTAATAAAAAAATAAAGTATTCTTACCATTTTCATGTGTCAAGTTGTACTGACAACCGTAGTCAAATTGGTCTTGGTAGCAGCTATACCCATCGGACTTCTGAGGTTGCCAGAAATTCGCAAAGTGATCTAACTGGTCGCTTCTATAGGTTTGTTGATGATAGTCTGATTGATAGCTTACTACAGCAGCATTCGTATCTTTATAATTATATTGGTCATTTAAGTAACACTGAGACGATATAGTAGGAGATGTCATTAATTGATGTGACTGTTGCTGTGACTGTGACTGTGTGGGTTGGTGATGGTGATGGTGATGATGTTGGTATTGTGGTGATTGATAACCAGTGATTGGAGTCGACAATACTGCCTTTTGACATTTTCGTCTAAATCCTCTAGGCCTCCGTCTATAAGAACTTTCTTCGAACATTACTTCTGATGCTGGATCTACTGTCCAATAGTGGCCTTTGCCAGGCCGACCTAGCCCTTTTGGAAGCTTAATGAAACAGTCATTTAATGACAAGTTATGTCGCACCGAGTTTTTCCATCCCTATAAAAATATAATAATATTACATTAAAAATAATTAATCAATAATATAATAATGTAATCACATATTAAATACAAAAAGAATAAAAAACAAATTAGAGAGGAAAGACTACATTTAATTTCACCATCTCATAAAAAAAGTTTTATTAACAAAATATATATTTTAAATGATACCTAAAATGTATGTTTCTATGAATCAATTCTGAAGGGGATCGTTAACAGAAAACATTGTACCTATACCAAATACCCAGTCAAATTATATTAATTTACGTAGCTCATAAGAACCTTATTCAACGCACGTATTGACCAATCAAATAATTCTGGAGCCTATTGATATTCCATATTGAAATTAAAAGAAATCTCAATAATTTATTTTGATGACTTAGTATAAAAAATAATTCAGTGCTTTTTAAAGAAAATTATTTATTTGGTAATTTTATTGGTCAATTAGAAAACTTATTAGGGTCAGGTGGGATAATTGTCAATGATTCTATCAAAGTGATTTTTAACTTGTGTTTATGACTGATTACTTACATAAACATTTATTATATTATTATACATATATACTAGTGGACATAATAAATATAGTTTTAGTAAATTTTTAATTTCAAACCTAAAAAAGCGTAATTTACATTTACCATTATCCCTTAATATTGGGGTAAATGTAAATGAATATTTTTTCTGTGCACTTTTTCTAAATGATAATACAAATGTTATAACCTCTAAAATGCTGTAATAAATATAATTCATGGGAGATAAAATATTAAATAATAATTTTATAGAGTTCGATGGTTATAATTTATTTGTTTTATTAGAATATCAGCCTCATTTACAATTACCCCTATTCACAGTTACCCCCCTGATCCTATATATAAAGTTGAGAAGTAAAAAATCAATATTTAAGATATTTCATTGTATTTAAATGATAATAATGTAAAAGAGATAGTAGTAATAAAACATTTCAAAATGCTCTCCTTGAAAATAGAAAAAAATACATTTAACTCTTTTTTTACTGTCATCAATTTGACAAAAACTATTGACGCATCAAAAACATTTATGTTAAAAAATCTAAGCTTAATTTCCTTTTCCCTAAATAAATATTTTATTATAGCAACATACAATTTTTTTTTTTAATTTTAGAACTATTAAAAACTTAGCTTTTGGGTAATTGTGCCGATGATTGTTACTAAGAAACATTTTATAGGTTATTCTTTAAAAATCTTATAAATTAATATTCTTTGTAAGATATATAAGTATTAAAATTATTACATAATTTTTAGTTAATTAAAAAAATAATTGTTAATTATACCGAAATGATTGAGATGACAATATTTCTGATAAAAACTTACAGAGATTAATTGAAAATTCAAACGTCTAGCGAGGAGTTATTTTATTTTAATGACAATGAAATAATAAATATAAATTAAAAATTTGCATTTAATTATCTCGCGATTGAAATATATACATTGAGTTTAAATTGTTATCACCAATACTATATAACTTATAGTTGGAAACTTTAATGGTGACATTAAGTGTATTAAATAAACATTAATTTTGATAAATTTTTAGAAAATAAATAAAATATTCATAAGTCTGTATAATGTAATATAAATAAATAGAATCTGACTATAAGAGCTAAAAGTGTACCACGTGAAAAATAATAATAGTATTTATTTTATTTTTTATTTTGAATAACATACCTGATAAGATCCTCTGAAAAATGGAAACCGATGTTGAAGAAAGGCGTAAATCTCACTAAGTGTCAGTCGTTTGACGGGAGAGCTTTGTATGGCCATAACAATGAGGGCTATGTAAGAATAAGGAGGTTTCTCTGACCTGCCCGCGTTTCCACCAGTCAATGTCGTTTTTGCACTACCACTGGCTGTGCTCTTTTTGGTTTTCCTTTCGTCGTCTTCGTCTTCGGTTTTGACAATCAGTAAATCCATTTTGTTCGTGTTTTATGATAGTCACTCAAGTGCGTATAAAAAGTGAGCCGCAAACTATTTATTTATAATAATAATATTATTGTTATTGCCGTAAATTTCAAGATGATTATTATTTAGATTATTTACTATAGCGGAGGTCGTTCATGTGTAAACGTACGTGTTTATTGTTTACTAGTCGTACACAATTTACGTTTGGCAACCGGTTGAAGAAACAACGGGAGCACTGCGATCTCGGGCGGAGCGTCTGGACCAGAGAGGAATAATTGTGGGCAGTACTGCCCTCCGACCAATCGTCAGCATCCGCTACACGAAATCAGTAATGCAGTCGGCCAAAAGCCGCGATTCGATTTAGAAACGACAAGGAGACGTGCCAGAAACACTTTTATATTTAGAGGATTTTTAAACTTGCGCACGATTTAAATTCCTACGTTAAAAAACAACGTGAAAACACACTAGTCGATCGAATCTATTACGAGTTCTATTCCATAAAAATATCAAATGAAATCTTTTATGTGAAAAAATTATAATGGTGTTGATCAAAAAATGAATACGAACAATTTTATTAAAATAGATATATAAAAATAAATAACGATTAAAATTTTAGACTTTAAAAAAATAGTTCATTAGAGAGAATAAAAAAAAAAATGTCAGTATTTTTAGCATTTTAATTTCGGAGTACAAAATTACGAAATGGTTTTAGGCTATAGTTATTGAAAAAACTCAAATAAGTTAACATAGGAAGAATTAACAGGTGATTTGGATAACCCCAGACGCGTCAATAGCATGCCGAAAATTTTTGAAAAATTATATTAATGTTGAATAAAAATATTTTTAGAAAGAGAAGAAATTATAATTTAACACCCTTGTAAACTTCATATTATCTGCGCTTATGAAATAGGTGCAACGATTTAATTTTATTATCTTTATAATAATTGTTATTATTATATTGCGAAAGCTACACAAACAATAAAGATTTTGTAATATTATTTTTAAATTTTCCATTTTTATATCATTATAGTAAACAAATAAAATTAGTTATTGGCTATACAAGTTTAATTGCTTGTTGTATTACCACGTAAACTAATTGCACTGAATAAATACACAAAAATTAATCATATATGTGATTTTTGTTAGACATTTTTTTGTAAGCGTTCAAAAAAGTAAGATAATTTATTAGTTCAACTAAAACTGTACTAAGTACTCGTAATATTTCCATTGAATATGAATATTTATAGATGTGTTAAAAGTAATTATCCTCTTTGAGTAATATAATAGTTAAAAAATTCTTATTTCTTTCGAATTGCATACAACATTTATTCTATGTAGAATAATAACGTCAATNATATGAATATTTATAGATGTGTTAAAAGTAATTATCCTCTTTGAGTAATATAATAGTTAAAAAATTCTTATTTCTTTCGAATTACATACAACATTTATTCTATGTAGAATAATAACGTCAATAAAAAAAAAATCAAATTCACTGTTTTTTTCTGAAAATAATTACATTATTTCTCCTTTTCTAGAAAAAACTTTAAAAAGCATCCGCAAATCGTTTGCTTTTTTACGGAACAGGCACACCAAAACAGAAGCAGACCTGTATCAAAACTCTTGTGTAAGTGATGATTGTATACTCAGTAACATTACATCGTTACATTTAAAAAAGACATACACTTCAAGTAAAATGCTTTTGAAAGACAACAACAATAAAGAACATGGTATCGATGTATTTAAGGATAAAAGATTCGTGTCAGTGCAAGTCTCTACAAAAAAATCAAAGCCTAAAAGTTTTGAGCAAACATTTGTTTTGCGTACTATGGAGTTCTCGTTCAATCATAAACGTAAAAATTCTTCCTCTAAATATAAACACGACTCTTCATATGAATTCAGTTCTTATGGCGAGATCAGTGAAGAGGACAGAGATTTAGATTTGCAATATTACGAAAGAGTTGATAATTGGGTCAAATCTGTAAGTGTTATTCAAAAATAATTTTACATAATCTTATAAAAATTATGAATAACTTTTAGGTAGTGGAATTAACTTCAACTGGCGTTTTGGAAACTCCCGCCTTACTTGTGAGTGACAATGATGATTTAGGTTTGAAAAAAACTTATACTAGTCCTCGTAACCAAATAAAAGAGAAAGTAGATTTTTCTTCAATGAAAGAGTTAACTTTTACAAAATATGGTGAGAAATATTTGTTTAAGCAAAGACTACTGCAGAAAATTTTCTCAGGGGTTACAAAAGATATTGACAATAGATTAAGCCATAATTGGCAATTTCCCATACTCGCAACTTAAAAAATCGTGATGCTCCCGAAATCATAACATAATAACTTAATTTTTTACTGAAAATGATACTTTAGAAGAATCATGAGCAGACAAAAAAAATTGTACAATAAATTTCTATTTGAATTAAAAAAATTATCTAAACTTCCAATTGAAAATAAACTTTATATACGCGTCTACTACATCACTAATTACGATTTTATATCAATCAATAAACCTATTACATAACAACTTCCTTACTAGAACATTAATAACTTTATTATCGATATTATTGACCATTTGGAATAACCCTAAAAATAAACAGATAGTAAATTTTACTTCACCTATTCGTGAACTATACAAAACCAAATTGTCTCTCGACTAAACGCTTCTAGTTAAAATAATTTTGCTAGTAAAAATTGCTCAGAATTTATCTCTCATTGGTAAAACTTAAACTAAAATTAAAATACTTGATATTTAGGGTTGAATATGTAACGTTAGTTTTTTTTTGTTAGTAACACGAGTAATTCAAGAAGGTACAATGTCATCTTCTGGACTTCCTCCGGGCTTTCTGTGTATAAGTAAATTTATTTACTATAATTAATACACAATATGATACCCTGATATTCATTTATACATTTTAAATATACTGAAATAATATATTGAACAATCAATTTTTATTTAGTAAAACATAAGGATGATACCTTCTATCAACTTTTTTTTTATGATCCTCTAGTAAAATCGCAAAAATTGCCTTAAAAAATATCGTGCTCCTTTTAGCTTTTGTAATAGGGTAAAGAGAACTTTATTTTAATAATTTAATTGTTTGATACATTTCATATGTATCTGATTTATTTTTAATAATAAATATTACTATTCCACCCCTAAAAATAAATTAATATTATTTAGAATCTTTTTCAATGTTTACATATTTTAAACTAACATTGATTGGCCAAATAAATAATGGCATAATCTTCTTAATTCTAAGGAGTAATAAACTATTGAGTTCTAATTAACAAAACCTATTTAAATTAAACAATATATTCAAAATTTTAGGGGAATTCATAGAAAAGTTTGACAAGTTTGCTATGAAAAAAAATGGTATGAGTCGAACATATTCTTCAAAGTCTACATTTTTTACTGCACTGAATGGCACATTACCTCCACAACTCAGTAAGTAAAATTAACAAATTTTAATTTCTTAATTCATAGCAGAGAATTAAATCATTTGTTAATTTCAAATAAAAAATTGCTTAACTAATATTTATTAAAAAAAGTCTTTTAAAATTTAGAAAAACTTATAGAAGTCTACGACACATTCATTTCGAAACGGAGTAATAAATAATGATGATAGTTGAAAGATGACTGAAATTATGCCAAAATATACATGAATTGCACATTATATTGCGAGTTATAATATTTACTCATAATTTATATACATTTTCTTTTAAAACTTTTGATCTGCAAATTTTTGTGTTTATTTCACAAATTAGGTCTATAGTTAAAATATTTTAAGTTTGACATTGTGCATTTTTATTAAGACAATAAATGAAATACATTAATATTTAAATATTTACATTTTAATGGTAAATACAAATTTACCGAATTATTTTTAATGGCCACATCTAGAGATACATTGAACAATGGGTTTTCAGGGTAGTACTAAAAGAAACGCTAGCCAGCAATATAAATTATACAGTTGATAACTTTTTGTTTGCTTATTTAAATAAGAAAAAATAGTGATGCAGAGATAAATTTTTTGATGAGCACAATAAAAAGGTCCTTGGGGTGGTAGAATTGAGTATCCAGGTGGCATAATTCGTAAATGCGCCTTGATAACTAATGCTTTGTGGTTGAAGTGCCAAGAAATTTGAACATTTTCAAGTACAAGATAAAATTTTATAATATCAATGAATATTTAAATTAATTAATTAATGTTAAAATTTACTATGTCCATATTATTTGAATTATTAGAAAACGTTTAAAAAAATTTAAACGTCGTTATGGCCATTTGATCTTTTAATATCTATGTTTTGCTTCTAAATTTCAGTATATTTTTGATATCTTAGTTTTATCATTTAAAAAATTTCTTAATATCTTATTTTTTCTATCCGATGAGTTTTTAATATTTTTTACGACAGCATATTTCAAAAGTCTCTCTCGTCATTTTCGGCCTTTAACAACTATTTACTGATTAACTGAACAATTCATGTTTTACAATTATAAATTTACCTTTTTTACTTTTGATTATAAATGAATATAATTATAATTAAATAGTTTTATTTTTTAAACAAAATTTATAGTATATTTAGACTTACGATCTAAGGGAGTAACCTTAGATTATTTGTGATCTTCACAAAAAGCTACAAGTATGTGAGAGTATACATAAGAATATTGAACAAAATACAAATTGTGTTTTCTTCACGTATTTCTCTGCACTTTCAGTATTACCCACTAGTTACAAGAGTATACCTATCCACAGTATGAATATTTTGGAATGTCACGATTTGTTAATATTATCCTTATAACCAAAAACATTGAAATTAAATTTTATTAATAGCACCTACATATTTTTATACTTTCTAATGCATTTGACAATGTCTTCAAACACTCTCCTAAAGTTGATTACTGATACTACTGCATATATATATTATCATGAACGTTATAATAAGCCAATTGTTTATACTAAGTCGGTGCACGAAGAGCATGTGATTAAAAACAGAGAGAGCATTACTGATAAATATGTATAGTAGACAAATATATCGGTTCTTCCTGTTTACTCATCACTTCCATAAAAAAAAAAAAGATTTATTGCCATACGTTTATACTATTATTTTCGACGACCGTTCGGCAATTCATCGATGTAAGAAGGGATTCTTTAGTAATTTTTATTGCGAGTCGAGTGTCGATAAAACTAAACAGGGGTAGCTGTTCTGGTTTCAGTCTGTTGATCGTTACTACCCTTAGATCGACGTTATACATACATTTTAATTTTACAGCTGCATTTAAACTGATGTGCAGTACACAAAATTATAACTCTACATTTATCTCAAGTATAGCGGAAAATAATATTATAATATATAATATAATAATATTATTATAAAATTATAATAATAATAAGTTTCAAAAGTTGTAGCAATTATGTGTTTTGGAAATAATTATTATGAAATATTATAGATAAGTATACAATTTCCAAATTGTAATACTGTAATATAAATAAATTGAATTACTTAAGATAAATTAAGAAACACCAGCACCAAAAAAAAATTCTCAATATTATTTCTATGTGTCGATTAATTAAGTAGTTTATGATAATAAACCAACTTGGATGTACAAAAATACAAAACTTTTCATTAAATCGATTTAATAAAATTTGTATACAATTATTGTTACAGTAATAACACTCTTATTTTACATTAGTTTAGGTTTTTATTATGTTTTTAATTATAATTAGTATAAATGTAAAAATATAAGAAACATAGTTCATTGAGTATTCTAATAAAATGGATTGTTGGTTAATTGTATTTTCTTGTTAAATATTAAAATAATGCAAATAAATTAAATTAAAACAATTATTACATAAAGTAGCGGAATAGGATATAAATTTATCACATTAAAATTAACTTAAATGAACTTATAAAATGGTATCTTATCATCAATATATTCAATTTGTAAGTTTGAATCATCTGTTTTTTCACACATATCATCTAATTTGAAACAAAATTAAAATATTAAAAAAAAGATTTGCTACATTGTATTTATTACAATGTCAAATACATTGTAATAAATTACATTGTCAAATAAAAAAATAGCACAATATTTTATTACCATGGTTACACATTAAATTAATATTTGTTTTTTTCAGTATAAGAATATTTAATACACTATGTACTATATAATGATTAAAAATAAAGGGAATATTTATTGTTCCTATTTTTAAAACAATTCATCTTACTTTTTTACTTATAAATCATGTACATGGTAAAGTAATGAAAATTCAAATTTAAAAATTGTTTCTGTGTAATCTTTTGTTTAAAAAACAAACATTTTAAAATCACTGAAATAATTTTATCAATGTAATTTTATTTGCTCACACAGAAAAAAATCGATAGCTACAAAATAATTTCTCTAAAGAATGACTAAAATATTAATTTATAGTTTATTAATTATAATGCGTTAAAAGTCGAAAATCTGTACCAAAAGTTAAAAAACATTAATTCATTGTATATTGTCTTCCACCTTATCTAAAATTGAGACAAACCTGGATTTTCTATTTGTTCGATTATTTTTTTAACTATAATTATGTCATACAATAAGGGCGTTTAGAACCTATTTTAAAATTTATTCGGTTATCATACATGTCGCTGAATAAATATTGTAATTGTCCAGTCCACAAATAAAGAATAAAATTTTATGGATCAAAACAGCATATTATAAATAGATAATATTATTCTATTGTTTAATAAAAAATAATTACCTTCATGAGTAAACGCTTCCTGTTTATCTACTTCATTGGTAGGTTGCATCAAATTAATAGAAAAATGTTGTGTGTTATCTATAAATATTATAATGTTTTTAGCTCAATTATAAAATTATTTAAATTAAAACTAGATGCACAGTAGTGTATTAGGCCATTTTTACCATATTGTTGAATCTCTTCTAGCATATTAACTTCATTGGTATGTAGTGTCAAATTTAAAGAAAGATTTTGTGAGTAGTCTAAATATATAAAAAATATATAAATAAATACTATAACTCTTTAATTGTAATAGCATTTTATAAAATAATTACTTTCTTCTTTTATCATTTTTTGTTTATTTACTTCATTGGTAGGTTGCATCAAATTAATAGAAGGATATTGTGTGATATCTAAAAATATTAAAATGGTTTTTAGCTCAATTATAAATTAAAATCAAATATACAAAAATATATAAGTCATTTGATTTTTATCTAATATAGATATAAAGAATATCAAGGACCCCATCACTTTAGTCTCCCCTTCGTGAAAAGAAATTTCTTATTCATATTAAAAATATTGTACTATAAAGTTTTTTTATGTCTGTCATAAATTTTTCTCAGCTCTCACTTGATCTATTTTTTTTAATGATACGTCAAATTCGTATCTAGTTTAAGATATTACTATCAAGAAAATAAAAATAATTCCACTTTATCAATTAAAAAATTAGCTCCAATTCAGCATATAGATAATTAAAATCATTAATTTCTAATATTTTTAAAGTATTTATTGTGGAATTAGGTTTGATATATCTTTTTAAGAGTTTTCTATCAAACTCTGTTATTTTCATACAAGTTTGCCATAAAAATAATAACTAATTTATAATTTTTTTTCTAATTTCTCCGTAAAAATTACAATATTAAATAATTAAACATCAATTTCATACTATATTTAATTTCTATGATAAATATTTATTCATATATTATACTTGAAAATCAAAGAAATACTTATTAGAATATAATTAAGGAAATAGAAGTTGATGTTGATTTGTAATTATTCACTAATTTCTTAAAATTAAAAGATTCCATAAATTTCATAACAAAGTGTTTCTTATGATTTTAATCATTGTTAGATATCGACTATACTTGTCTCAACTACGCGCACGTCCATAATGTGCTACCTTTTTTTTATGTTATGTTTTTAATTATTATTAGTATAAATGTAAAAATATAAGAAACGTAGTTCATTGAGTATTCTAATAAAATGGATTGTTGGTTAATTATATTTTCTTTTTAAATATTAAAATAATGCAAATACATTAAATTAAAACAATTATTGTATACAGTTTGGAACACGATAAAAATTAATTGCATGAAAATGGAATTCATGAAAATTTATGAAAACATGAACTTATAAAATGGTATCAGTATATTCAATTTGTAAGTTAGAATCATCTTTTACTTCACATATGATATAAAATTTTAAACAAAATTTAATTATTAGAAAAAAAAAAGCTAAACTGTATTTTATATTTATCTAATAAAATAAAAGCACAATATTTTATAACCATAGTGATAAAATCAAAAACTTTTGGTTTTGTACAGTCAGAGAAAGGCAACGAAGTGGTAATAACTTTTACATGGAATGAAGTTCTCAAAGAAAATAAAGAACTAGAACTAATACACTTCTTTAAAAACATTAACCTAATTAACCAATTGTAAACACATAATAAAATATTATTATAAATATAAATGTTGTTTTGTATACTACCCGGTTAAGATAAAAAAATAAAACAAAAAATTTATCATTGAAATTTTGTATTTTGTAAAAATTCAATGGTGGCCATTAACTAGTTAAATAGTTATCTTTTTTTAAACTTTTCAACTTAACTAGTTAATTATTCTTCTAATAAACTTTTTAACTTAAGTAATTTAATTTTCTTTTGAAATAACATAGCTTTTTCAGTTAATTAGTTAAAATAACAGTTACGCTAAATTCAATATTTCATAAAAAAATGTATGTCTTTATACGCTGCGTACATGTTTTAATCTTAAAAACCCAGCACAGTAAGGTGGCGGCATAGTGGGGTCGTGGCATAGTTGAGTCTAGTATAGATGATATCTGACAGTGATTAATATCACTATCATAAAAAACGCTACGATGCAAATGTGCAGATAGTNAATATCACTATCATAAAAAACGCTACGATGCAAACGTGTAGATAGTGTTTAATTTAAAAAAAAAAATTTGTTAAAAAAGTAGGTCAAATGAGAGCTAAGAAAATAAATGATAGCTACAAAAAAAAAACCACATAGTAAAATAATATTAATATGAATTTTTTCTCACGAGAGGAGACTACAGTAATGGAATCCTTGATATTTATTGAAGTTATTGAATCTAAATGAGATAAAAATCAAATGAGTTAAATATTTTTTTTTAACTCAAAAAGAATTAAAAAAAAAGTTTAGTACCACAATCGTGAAAGACCCAAGTGTTACCATCTCAAAAACCGTACGTCTCATTCGTCATTTAATAAAAATGGAAATTTAGCTAGTTCAAATTTTAAAGTTATTTTTCTTGACTTCAAAAAAACAAAAAAATTTAAATATGTTTAATTTTTTATACTATATTATTTAGATTGATATAATATTTATGAAATTCAGTGTAATCCCCTTATAATAAAATAAAATACAAAATCAAGAATTTTAACACAATAATAGCATATTTTTAAATACGGTAGCTATTTTCACCATGACGACAAAATAAAGTCTGAAATTTTTTTTTTTTCATAATAAAGTATATTACATTTGCTTTAATTTAAGTTATATATAAAAGTGTCAGTATTTCTGGAACACTTTCAAAAGTTAAGTTGAAAAAGTTAATTTTTTGTGAAAAAGTTGTCATTTTGAATCCCCCCTGTGGGCTGGTAAAGGGTTAAATTTATAATAAAAATATACCAAATGATAGGTAAAGACATCAATCTTCTATAAAAAAAAATTATATTGATGTATTCATTTTTGAAAAAGTTATGGCTGTTTTTAGTAAAAAGAGTTGAAAAAATTTCGAAAATTAGTGATTTTTAAATTTGTAATTTTTTTGGAGATTTCACCCATTTACGAGGAACGAGAGATATTTTTTCAATTTTTGAAGGTAATGTCTTCGACTAGATACGATTTGTGATCTTTTGACGTATCGTTGAAAGAAATCGGTTCGGTAAGAGCTGAGAAAAAGTAGTAACAGACACAAAAAGAAAAATAATAAAAATTAAAAAAAAAAACACATCATAGTAAAATTAATACCTTCTTAGCTTCAAATCGAAGCTAAAACCAATAAAAAAAAATAGTTAAAAAGATTTACTCAATTGTGAGAGTATTATTAAAATTGGTAATAATTGTAAAAATCCATCGTTAAATTCAGGTTTTTTTCTTAATTTATGATTTATATAGCAACATGTTACAAAAAAATTTGGTATATTATAGTCTGGTAGTAGCACACACAAATAGAGTTAAAAAATTAAAAAATTATAAAGTAAAATTATTTACTTTTGTAGTTGAATACTTTTATCATATCAAATCTAATTCGACAATAAATACTTTATGAATATTAGAAATTAATGNCATATTATAGACTGGTAGTAGCACACAGAAATAGAGTTAAAAAATTAATAAATTATAAAGTAAAATTATTTACTTTTGTAGTTGAATACTTTTATCATATCAAATCTAATTCGACAATAAATACTTTATGAATATTAGAAATTAATGATTTTAATTGTTTGTATGAAAAAAGCTGGTTAATCTACTTTTTATTTGAATAAGGAATATTTTTTCGATTTTCAAGAGTAATAACTTAAACTAAATACGAATTATAATCATTTGACGTATCGTTGAAAAAAGTAGGTCTAGTGAGGGTTGGCAAAATAAATCGTAGCCACAAAAAGAACCACATAGTAAAATAATATTAACATGAATAAGAAATTTCTTCTCACGAATGGAGACTATAGTGATAGGATCCTTTATATTTATTGAAGTTATTGAATCTAAATGAGATAAATAGCAAATGATTTGAAAATTTTATTCTAACTCAAAAAAAATACAAAATTTGATTTGCCACAGACGGATTTGAATTTCGTATCCTAGGCATGTGAAACACAAGTGTTACCGACTCGGCAACTGTCGTTGCTTTCGTGACATGAAAAAATTGGCTATTTACGCTAACTTAAATTTAAAAATTACTTTTTCGACTAAAAAAGTAAAAAAAATTTAATAAGTTTACTTTCTTATGTCTTATGAACTTTATTCTATATCAATTAAATTATATAATATTCATGAAATTTAATATATTCTCCTAATAAGATATTTTATAATAAAATAAAATACAAAACCTAGAATTTTAATAGAAAAATAGCATATTTTTGAATACAGTAACCATTTGCACAAAGAAAATAGATCGTCGGGAAAAATTTTTTTTTTCATTTTGTAGTACATAAAAAAAGCTTTAATTTGATATATTTTTAAAGGACGCAGTCTTTCCGAAACATTTTCAAAAATTAAGTTGAAAAAGTTAGTTTTTGTAAAAAAGTTGCTATTTTAAATCCCCCCAGTGAGCAGGTTAAGTGTTAAATTTTCAAAAAAATGTTATCAAATGAAAGGAAAGTATCTAAGATTTTATTAAAAAAAAAAATTATGTTGATTTGTTGCTTTTTGAAAAAGTTATGGAAGTTTTAAGAAAAAAAAGTAAAAAAAATGACAAAATTTATCGATTTTTAAATTTGTAATTTTTTTGGAGATTTCCACCATTTGCGGAGAACGAGGGAAAATTTTTCAATTTTTAAGGGTAATTTCTTCAACTAGATACGATTTGTGATCTTTTGACGTATTGTTAAAAGAAATCGGTCCAGTGAGAGCTGACAAAATGTAGTGACAGATACAAAAAAAAAAAATAAAAAATAAATAAACACATCATGGTAAAATTAATACCTTCTCAATTTCGCATCGAAGTTAAGAAATGGAAATTCCACCCCTCCACCAAATATTATATTTATATAACAATAATTATAGTTTTCTGGATTTTGATAATTTCTCTAGATTCATTGAAACTATTATAATAGTTTCAATGATAAAACATTGCGACCAACGCAAAAATGTAAAAAACGGTTAAATTTTTTTTGTTGTTATTAATATTTTTTTCCTAAGTTTAAAAGGTATGATGAATTGTATGATAGGCTAGGAACAAAGGAAAGCGAGAAAGAAATTTGTAGACTTGCAAATGTAAGAGAGAAAAGGTCTAAAGATTATCATTATATAAGATGTATAAAAAGTGTTGATAATAAGATACTCTCGAGTGATGATGATGTGAAAAGAAGGTGGAAAGAGTATTTTGAAAAATTACTAAATGAGGAGTATCTAAAAAAGACATTAGAGGATATCTCGTGGAATAAGGGACTGGTAGATTTAATTAGTGGGAAAGAGGTATGGGAGAGAGGCTGTGGCATCAGTGAAAAAGAATAAAGCAGTAGGACCAGATGTAGTGCTAGTAGAAGCATGGAAAATATTAGGCGATGTTGGCATAAGGTGGTTGAAGGAACTTTTAAATAAAATCTTACTAGAAGGGAAAATTTCAAATGAATGGAGGAATAGTATTGTGATGCCGATATTTAAAGGTAAAGGTGATATACGTGAGTGTGTAAATTAAAGAGGCATAAAGTTTATGACTCGTAATACGAAAATTTAAGGAAAGGTACTAGATAAGAGAATAAGAAATGAGACATCGGTATCTAAAAACCAGTTTGGATTTATGCCCGATAAGTCAACAATGGAGCCAGTATTTTGTGTGGGGCAACTAATAAAAACGTTTAGGGAAAAAAAGAAAAAGCTGTGTATAGATGGTATTTATAGATTTAGAGAAAGCATATGGTAAAGTACCGAGAGGTTTTTAAGAGGACATTAATAAGAAAAAGAGTCCCGAAAAGGTACATTAATATATTAGAGGATATGTATGATGGTACTTGTACCAGGGTAGAAAGTGTAGGAGGAGTAACAGAAGGTTTTAGGGTAAGAGTAAGAGTGCACCAAGGTTCTGCCTTAAGCCTTTACTTATTTTCTATAGCATTGGATGAAATTATTAGAGAAATACAAGGAGAGGTGCCGTGGTGAATGTTGTTCGCTGACGATATAGTGTTAATAAGAGAAAATAATCAAAGGCTAGAGGTGTGGAGATTACCTCTTGAAGGAAAGGTTTTAAGAATAAGTAGGAGTAAGACAAAATATATATAGAGTACGAGTTTGATAAAGGAGAATATGAGGTAGGTGAAATGAGGAGAGCAGTGACAATAATCAAGGATGTGATAGGAGAGGTGGAAAATTTTAAGTATTTAGGATCAGTTGTGCAAAAGAGCGGTGCTATTGACGAGTATGTAAGACATAGGATTAAGTGCGGGTGGTTGAAGTGGAGAATAGCGTCTAGTGTGTTATGCCTTAAAAAAATTTCAAAGAGGCTAAAAGTTAAATTCTATAAAACTGTAGTCAGACCAGTTATAATGTATAGTTCAGAGTGACAAGACGGTTGACAAGAAAGTAGAGCAGAGAATGAGTGTAGGAGAGATGAGAATGCTTAGATAGATGAGTGGACTGACTAGAGAAGATAGGATAAGGAACGAACATATAAGAGGAAGTATAGGTGTAGCGTCAATCGTAGATAAGATGAGAGAAAATAGACTTAGATTGTTTGGTCATGTTATGAAAAGAAAAGAATCGGAAGCTGTAAGAACAGTTATAGAAATTAATGTTGAAGGAAGAAGAGGTAGAGGAAGACCAAAAAAGAGATGGAAGGATGTAATTGAATGCAATATGAGAACGGCTGATGTGAGCGTAGATGATGTAGGTGATCGTGTCAAGTGGAAGTTTAGGATAAGAGTGGCCGACTTTAAGTAGTTTGGATTAAGACGAGGAAAAAAAAGAAGAAGATTCAACTTTAAAAGTTGAAAATCGATATCCTCTGGATTATTAAAAAAAGCAATACCTCTTTTATTTCTCAAACCACAGAAAAGAATACGCTAACACTACTACGCATATAATTCTGACCTGGGCCACTATAAAGTAGCCATGAATCATTGTCTTTATCGGCGTCTTCGAATCACCACAAAAGTATTAAATAAGGGAAGTTAATAAAAAGTAACTGTCTTGTCTTCATTGAAGTACATATTGGTGACTCAATATGTCTATACAAAGGCATGACACAATCGAGACACCTAATCCCTGTTTATGACGTTTGTGGTACATTATATAAAGGCTAAAGACCCTGTTTTAGCACTCACTCACTTATCTCATTTTCTCATTCAGCAATCTCTTTTGACAAGTAACTCTTTAACGTTATTCTCTCCATACTCTAGCGTATTCTTTATACAGTGTCTCTATAGTCTTAACTTTTCTCACTAACGTACATTTGTTAAAATAACTAAATCTTTGCTTAAAATATATACGCTTATATAATTTCAGTATAATTCTCTTTTATTAGCTATAATTTTGAATAACACAAGTCAAAAATCGAGAATCTATCCTCATCAGTAACTATCAGGTAAGAGGAGTTTTAATACACCAACTACATTTATTAAGTAATAACCTTTAACCCTTAATATTCCCTTTCATAACCTTCACTAATTTTAAAGTTTTAATCTTTATTTTAGTTATTACACAATGCACCTAACTTCTTACTTATTATACATCATGTATAATGTAAAGTAATGAAAATTCAAATTTAGATATTGTTTCTGTGTAAATCTTTTGTGAACTCTTTTTAATTTGTAAATGTGGCCCGAGAATTAAAAAAGGTTGCCGACCACTGCCTTATAAGGATTTTGACTTTAATTTTTCAAATGGCAACCTCCTTAATTAATAAACTTATTTAATAGGTAATGATCTAATTAAGAAAATGACTAGTCGATAACAACTTTTGGACCAGTATTTCGGAAGTTACTGTCATATTAAATTGTAGGTGAATGGAAAAGTATGTCTGGGAAATGTCTAGTTATAATAATTGCAGCACCCACTCTTCAACTCCATTCTTTACACTAAATTGTTAATAACTTCTGAAATACTGGACCAAAAGTTGTTACCGACCATTCATTTGTTTAATTAGATCATTATCTATTTAATAACCTATTTAATTATATATTTTGATAAATTAAAGTTGACACACTTTATAAGATAAGGATTAACATAAAAAATACTTTAAATTTTAACTTAAGTGAATCACTCTGTATAGAATACAATTTAGAATTATTTCAGCTTTCATACATGTTACTGAGTAAAGTTCTATTAATAATGGATAAAATAATATGAATAAGTTTATTGCTTCCTAATCGCAAAAACATATTTGAAATAAATAAAATTACTCTATTGAATTATAAATTAATTACCTTCTTGTATATTTCCTTCTTGTATATCTACATCATTGCTATGTTGTATTAAATTTATAGAATTTTTGTATTGTGTAATATCTAAAAATATTATTTTTAAATTATGGAAAGATTGTGGGTGACGATGAATTACATTAATAATATATACACAAAAATATATTGCTCTCTAATCCTAATAGCATATTAAAAATAAAAAAAAGTAAGTATATTATAGAATAATTACCTCTTTTTTTAATTCCATCCTGTTTATCTAATTCATTGGTAGGCTGAATCGAATTAATAGAGAGATTTCGTACGATGTCTAAAAAGTATTAAAATAGTTGTTAGCTCAATTAATAACTTATTTGTATTAAAAACTAAATATATGGTAATGTATTAAAAAAAATTTACCATGTTGTTGAATCATTTGTAGCATGTTTACTTCATTAGTATGATCTGTCAAATTTATTAGATTTTGGGTGGTATCTAAATATGTAAATAAAAAAAAATTGTTCATTAAGTTTTATATTGTTTCAATAATTGTACCTTGATTGTCATTGGTAGGTGGACTAGGTAAAAATGTCTGTTTTGTATTCAAATCAAATTTAAATCCAAGTTCAATGTACTTTTTCTGGTATGTCGTTTGAACTAAATTGCTTATTTTATTACTAAGAAAAATTATAAGCTCTCGACTTTTTTCATTAGATCTCGCAGTAGAGTCAAATTCAATAATCCATGATTTCCATATTACATTGACATCTAAAAATATTAGTTCACAAAACTCCATATCCTTTTTAAGTTCTTTATTTCTCTCGAGTAAAAATTTCTCAATAAACGACAAGGCAAAATAAATCGTATCTGGACTGATTAACAAAGGATCTAATTTCTTTAAAGTATTTTTATTCTGTAAATTTCTTATAGTTTCTCTTAAAATAACACGACTTTTTCTATGGTAATTCCAGGGCAACGTATGAAATATTTCAATAGCATTTAAAGCTTGTTTCATGAGTGTTGCCAACGGAACAATTTCATTTATTTTTTTTAAAACTAGATAAACACAACTTTGCACAGTTTCAATAGTTTCATTAATATTAAATAGCATACTATTGCAATGTGCTTGAAAAACGGTTAATGCATTAAACATATTATTTAAATCATTAGCATAAGAACATCCAAGGAATATTGTTGCGTGACGTATGCTAATATCGCAATTTAGTGTAGTTACAGGGTTATTAATTACATTTTCGAATTTTAATTTTTCACTCCAATACATGATTGATTTCACATCATTTATATTTTTCCAACCGGAATGATGTAGAAAATAATTTATTCTTTCAGCGTATTCTTTTTTGTTATGATGACCTTCAGTATGCAAAAAAACGAAATATATACAAACGTAGACTTGAATATTTAGTATTATTGCCATTTTAATTTTTGAAAAAGTTATTTAACTATTTTCTTACACCAGTAAAATAATTGTACTAAATCAATTTGAACCTAATAGTGTTATTAATAAAAAAAAATGATTGCACATACTAAAATGTATGAACGCGCAAAAAAAAGTCATGTAAATATACGTAATAATTTCACCTATGTACATAGGCGAAGATGGGTAAACAATATTAATTTAGCAAAAATAATGATACTAAGCTATTATTATCAATACGATAATATTTTAAAATAAATATAATAATTATGAAACTATTAATGAATTAAGAAATAGGACGAAATTAATGAAAATTCATGTTATAGTTGGCGTGTTATTTGAAAACTTGAGGTTAATTTAAAATAATTAGACAATTCATAAATTCATGTTTTTCACATTTTTAAATTTTGTTAAACATATTTTCTTTGTTAGATTATCAATATAAATCAGTTTATTAGATTCAAAAGTAAAATACAAATCAAAATTATATGATTATAAACCCTCCTTAAGCCACGCTTGTGCCCAATACTGTTAGGCCTATAGAACAAATGTGGTCATTGTCATTTAAACTTATGTATATCGGCGGCTGATTTATTGTGAGTAGCAGTACACGACTGTATACTCCCAACCGCTCGTGTATGAGAAATAAACACACATTAAATTTTATACTTGTTAGTCTTTTTTTAGCTTCGATACAGCTGAGAAAGTATTGGTTTTACTAAGATGTGTTTTTTTTTATTTTTTTTTTTTGCGTCTGTCACCACTTTTTCTCAGCTCTCACCGAACCGATTTCTTTCAATGATACGTCAAAAGATCACAAATCGTATCTAGTCGAAGACATTACCCTCAAAAATTGAAAAAAATTCCCTCGTTTCCCGTAAATGGGGGAAACCTCCAAAAAAATTACAAATTTAAAAATCGCTAATTTTCGAAATTTTTTAAATTTTTTTTACTTAAAATTGCCATAACTTTTTTAAAAATAACCAAATCAATATAATTTGTTTTATATAGATGCATGATATCATTATCTTTCATTTGGTATATATATTTTTTATATTTGACCCTTTACCTGCCCACGAGGGGGATTCAAAATGACAACTTTTTTACAAAAAATTTACATTTTCAACTTAACTTTTGAAAGTGTTCCGGAAAGTCTGACACTTTTATATATATCTTAAATTAAAGCTAATGAAATATACTTTATAATGGTAAAAAAAAATTTCGGACTTTATTTTATCTTTATGGTGAAAACAGACATCAAAGTTAATACAAAAAATACGATTTTTGTAAAAAAATTCGTATTTATATTTTTAACTTTATAATGCTATAACTTTTTGAAAGATGTATGGATCAATATAATTCTTTTTTTTATAGATGCATGATGTCATTACCTATCATTTGGTATATATTTTTTTAATATCTGACCCTTTACCTGCCCACAGGGAGGGATTTAAAATGACAACTTTTTCACAAAAAATTTACTTTTTCAACTTAAATTTTGAAAGTGTTCCGGAAAGTCTGACACTTTTATATATATCTTAAATTAAAGCTAATGTAATATACTTTATTATGCAAAAAAAAAATTTCGGACTTTATTTTATCTTCATGGTGAAAACAGACATCAAAGTTTATAAAAAAAATACGATTTTTGTAAAAAAATTCTTTTTTATATTTTTAACTTTATAATGCTATAACTTTTTGAAAGATGTATGGATCAATATAATTTTTTTTTTATAGATGCATGATGTCTTTACCTATCATTTGGTATATATTTTTTTTAAATCTGACACTTTACCTGCCCACAGGGGGGGATTTAAAATGACAACTTTTTCACAAAAAATTTACTTTTTCAACTTAAATTTTGAAAGTGTTCCGGAAAGTCTGACACTTTTGTATATATCTTAAATTAAAGCTAATGTAATGTACTTTATTATACAAAAAACAATTTCGGACTTTATTTTATCTTCACGGTGAAAATAGCTACCGAATGCTATTATTGTGTGAAAATTCTCGATTTTATTTTTTACATTTTTAACTTTATAATGATATAACTTATTAAAAAGTGTATGGATCAACATAATTTTTTAATGAGAAATAATATTTTTTAATAATCCCTTTTTTATTCGACATACTTTATCTTAATCAGGATATTAATAAAAAACTAGCAGATTATGTAGCTTTTGGAATAATACAAATCAATTTTTTAAAATTAAACACTATCTAAATATTTGCATTGAAGCGTTTTTTTTTTATAGTGATTTTAATCACTGTCAGATATCATTATACTTGATCCAACTATGCCACGTCACCACTGTGCCGCGACCCCCTTATGCTGGGTTTTTTTTTATTTACTTAATATCTTTTAGAAGTAAAATATTACGCCGAACATATGGTTCTTTGGAACATCTAATTATAACTAGAACGCGAAAGTGCGAAANTTTTTATTTACTTGATATCTTTTAGAAGTAAAATATTACGCCGAACATATGGTTCTTTGGAACATCTAATTATAACTAGAACGCGAAAGTGCGAAAATGTGCGTAACGAAAGTGGGTGTGTGAGTGAAACATCGTAAGTGCGTGTTCGTAAATAATTCTGACAAATCAACTTGAAAAAGGGTTAATTTCATTACAACGTCATTGTTATATGTGGGATATAATAATATATTATATATTATTATTAACATATTTAAATTTAATATTTGTAAAATTGCTTTGATTTTTTTTAGTAAATATTTGACTATATATATATATATAAATATATTTTTATAACGGTGGAACGTTTTTCAAATGACTGTGAGGTTTTGACGGGATTTCCAAGTGAAATACTTACAAAGCATGTCGAATTCGAATTTTCTATTTAAATTGTTTCGCTATGGCCGTTCTTCTGGAGACACGATTTTTAATTAGTGTCAAAGGCCAATTTATAAGTGGTTTATATCATTTACATTATAATTTTCACGAAGACGCCATTTCTTTATTGTTTCCTAGAGAGATATGCGTTTGTAGTTTAACGACAAGATCTATATTTATATGAATTCACACATTGCTAGGTGTTGCACGATGAATTAAATAATCATCAATATTTACAGATTAATATTTGTGCGTCTATATATATATATATATATAGTCAAATGTAAAAAATCGTGCGCAATATTCATAAAATGTCTACGTGCAACGACTATTGTGATAAAATTATTAAATTTTTATTTTGTTCAAATTACCATGGACGCAGCCTGACAGTTAATAAAGCATATTTATAAATTAGCAACGATCAGCTGACCCTCTTTGTTTTCTGTGGAATGATAATAATTTTATTATTTACTTGGTGCACCTTTTGATTCTTTACATTTTTATTAAATCCAATCTTCTCTCCTTCTGCTCTTTTACCATACTTTATATTGTTTTATCTTAATGATTATAATTTTCTGAATTTCCTCATCTTAGTACCATGTTTCTTTGTTTTCTGGCATTCTAATTCTACTCTCATTATCGATCTCCTTTGCAATATTATTTAAATAAGCTGCAATCCTATTCAAATATTTATATTTTTATAAGCATTATAAGTCATTATTTCTTTCACCTTCTTTAAGAGTTATTCTTAATTTAGCCTTACAATTTCCATCTCCTTATCCTCGACTCTCTTCCTGTGTTCTACCTTTTTTACACACATTCTACCCACAACATCCCAACTTCACTACTATAAATTTATGTTACATTGTCCCTTCTTGTCGGGAATAACTTTATAATCTTTTATTTTCTCTGCACTTTCTCCCTTCCACATAAAATAATAAATCTGTGATATATTACTCTTATACTATAATTATTTTAATAAATAATATAATAATTTAAAAAAAACAGTAGAGAGTTGTTTAAAAATGAATTATACATACACATACCAAAGAAATATAATATAAATACAACTTAATACAATTGCGTTATTTTATATAATCTAATAAAATAACATTATTTAATGCAGGTTATAATGAAATTATAGTTAAATAAATTTTTCAGAAGATTAATTTAACATTATTGATAAATTAATTAGATAAAAGCCATACATGAGAAAAATCTATAATCCCAGTCTTCTATGTTTATATATATTAATTCGTAATAAAATAAAACAAAACATCATAGATCAAATAGAATGTATTAAAAACCTATCTATTAAGCAGTATCTGATAGTTCAGAATCGTCATCAATATCACCATCAGCAGGCACATTTGGTGCATGTACACTAGAAAGTAAATCTCGCATTGCATCTAATAATGAATTGACACTTTGACGTAAGTCACTTCTCATTTCTTCTATTTGTTCACCAACCATTGTAATAACTGGCCTTGAAGCTACGGTTTCTGTTTCTGATGTTATATCTTCTTCTATAGCACTAAAAAATATTATGTTAAAATTAATAGTAAATTATAAATAGTTAATTTCAAATTTAAATAATAATAATAGTTACTTGTCATCCGACAATGCTTGGAAGACTGGATTTAATGATCGGAAAAATGTTGAAAACAACGACTGATTCTGTACAGGACTCCTACTAGAACTATCATTAGTTGTTCTAGAATTGTAAAACGAAGTACCATCAGGAGGAGGAAATGGATCCATAATTAGAATTGGACTCGTGACTGCCTATTTCAAAATAATTATAAAATAATTTTCATAAAAATTAATTTTAAAGCAAATAACACAATTACCTCAGCTGGAGGCGCAATAGTATCACTCATATCAGATAGTAATAAATGTCTGTGTATGTTAAGAGGTGTCTTAGCACTAAATAAAGTTGAGCGTAAGTTTTCCATTGTTTTAACCAATGGATCTTTAGCATCTACTCGGTCTAAAACAATTTGTACATTGCGTTCAAGCCATGGCAAAAGTTGTACTTCTTTCCATACATGATAGCTTCTTGTCACATACATTGAGATTAGGTATGATAATGCTTTAGGTTGCCTATAATTCAAATATTTTATAACATGGACAAAAAATAAGAAATCTACATTTATTTAATTAATTTTTTTTTAATTACTTAAATATTATTTCTTACGTTTCATTAGCATAAGTTGTGAAAAATGGATGATTACTGACTCTTTTATCAGGTTGTATTGAACATTTGTCAAGTAATAGTATGAGTACACCGGGAAACATAATTAAGGATTCTTGTAACAATGTATGTGCAGTTTCAACATCTCCTTTTTGCCATTTAGCTACAGCTAGTGAGAATTTAATGTTAGGCAATTGTGTGAGATTTCGAATGGGATCAAATGCATTGACAAAATGAATAAACCAAGTATATTCAGATGAGCGAAGAGCATAAAAGTCTATACATAACACAATTGCAAGTGGATCATCCATTGGAGAAAGGGATAACAGAAGTTTGCAAAACTCTAAAGCTGTGCGGTAACAAGCTCTTAATCCCACAAAAGTCAAATGTCTATACAATGCCAAAAACAATGCCCTAAAAACAAATATATATTTATATAAATATAATAATGATTTTAACAAAACAAGATTACTGACATTAGTCATACATGTTTTCTTAATTTTTTAAAAATCAATTCAGAAACAAGTAGTGAAATTAATTTTATAAATTTTGTTTATACTAGCTATTTTAACAACAATAATAAATTAGTTCTATCAATGGACACAAATTAATTGTTTAGTTAGAAATTAAAATTTAAAAATCATTAAAAAGAAAAAACATATTATTTTATTTATACAACATTATAAATGCAAAGCAGCTCCTAATAAATAANTATTATTTTATTTATACAACATTATAAATGCAAAGCAGCTCCTAATAAATAAATTGTATCAAGTACAATGGTTTATCAAAATTCTTAAAAAGTGTTAAGAAAATATAATTTTACAATTAAATAAAACAAATATAAAACATTTTCTAAATACATATCATATAATACATAAAAAAACATACATAATTTACAACATTAAGAAGTTTATTATAATAGGTCTTACATATTATCAATGGTTATCAAATTATTAATGCACTGGTGTATAATATTGCATATAAGTAAATATATAATATTTTTATAACATCTAACTAATTACTTGCCTATTTTCATGTAAACGGTAATCTAAGCGGCATTTTCCATTTGATAAACTGAACATAGGATGAAAAGAATTTTCTAAAGAGTACAAAGCTTGTTCAGTTAGTTCAGCTGCTACTGGGAGATCTTCACTCAAACGAGCCCACTCAGTCATTTGTAATAGCACATCAACATGATATGGATGATTGTTGATTATATTCTAAAAACAAAAAAAATTTGTATATAAAAACATTAATTATTTCCAAGTGGATGTAAAATTGTATAACATTTTTTTTTTTTTAACTTAAATAAGTAGAATGAGTTAGTAATCACCATTTTTTTATTTAAATAATATATTTTATATGAAATTATTTAAATTGATGGTGTTATCTATCAAGTTTAATTGAAATAAATTTAAAAGATTTTTGTCGAGTACATTTTTACAAATTAAAATATAATATATTTTTTAATAATTACCACCAAATGTTGTTGAGACATGTTTGAGACAGCATCATAAAGTTGTAATTGAACTTGCTGATATTCTGGATTATGTTCAAATGCAAAGTACATTATACCGTTTTTAGTTTCAATGTATTTCATTGTTGATCCTAAAATATAAAAATCTTTAAAAGAAATTTCAATAATCATTAATTAACTCTTTTATTAGCTTACCTGATTTCCCTACAGGTGGCCAATTATCTTTAGGGGTAACAAGCCAAGTTGTCTTTAAATGATTTCTTCCTCTAAATTTTCTTTTGCTAAAAACATTTAAATAGTCAAGTTAATATTGAGTTATATTGAGAATGGAACATATCTAATTGATAACTTCTATAACTTTTAAAACAATTAACATTCTGTTGTAATTTGTTTTTAAGTATTCATGCATTCTTGGATTACATAAAGATTATATTTTTATTATTTGTTTTTAATAATAAAATGAAAAAACAATTTTTTTTTTTAAATTTAAAACTGTTTTTAGCATATTTATTACAAAAATGAATAATAGGTCTATAACAGTTTAAGGATAAGTAGTGATTGACTTAAAAGTATTTTAATACATAGTGATTATGTATCGAGGTTAGGTACAGCTCATACTAGTGTATATAGATTGATACCTTAAATAAACCTTAAGATATATCCTTGAAAATATTAGAGATAATCATTATTTTATTTATTAACAATAATTGATTCTAGTTGAGATGCTTTATATGTATAATTAATTTTCTGCAATGACCCCTTGTAAATCAACAATAAAATTATTATCAACCTTTTTTTAGTAAGAATAGTGCTAAGTACTGGCTTTCTTTAAATTTCAAAAAAAAAAAATTACAAATAATAACAAAATATTGATTGTATCACAAATTTAAAAAATTTTTAATTAGATCAGTTCTACTTTGTAAATCAGCGTTTTTTAACTTATTTATCACCACAGACCACATCAGCAATATTTTATAAGTCGCGCACTCCCTCAATTTTACGAAAACTAACATTTTTTTATTTTTTTTAAAAACATACTACATGGTAATCAAACAAATAAAGATAGCATACTGAATCAATATCCATAACTCAATATCAAATGGTACACATAAAGTATAAAATTTATAGTATAAATTATATATTTTTTTTATATAGCAACAATGTTTGTAATTGATATAATTATTATCAATCGCGATAATAATATTATTTATAAATCTGATTCCTACTTACTTATGAAAAATACTTATCAGTCGTTGGCAACAACAATAATGGGATAACCTTATAATATTATATGGTTCCTCAATAAGCCGTAATTTTTTCCACAATTTAAAAAAAAATATTAATTTCTAATAGAAATCAAAGAAAAAATCTATGACTGGCTCGCAGACCACCGGTTGGGAAACACTGCTGTATATAATACATAGTTATGAATACAAATATTATTTTTTTAATTTTGTAATAAAGAAAACTTTGCGTTTAAAAATGTTAGAAATGATTTTATATGACTAGATTAAAATTATATAGTTTTAAAAGTAAAATAATAATTTCAAAATCTATTAATGTAATTAATTATTGCTCAATTTTGTTTCTTTCGTAATACTACTATATTTAATATATTTAACAATTAATTATGTTAAAGAAGGTTTTTATTAAATACTACCTGAGTTCAGCTTGATGAACAACTCTTCCAAACATTTTTCGGAGCTCATTGTTTGGATTAAGATTGCGATGTTGCACAGATAAAATATTTTTGATGTAAATACATTCCTTGTTCTGAGCCAAATTACTTTGGAATGATGTTGCTTCTTCATCTTTATTCTTATATGATACTTCTCCCAAAATTTTATTTACCTCTCGAACACTTCTTTCTACTTCATCCTAAAATAACATTTCGAGTAAATTTAATTTATGTAAAAGAAATACAATAAAACTTCTTAAAATCATACATCAACATTGTCTTCACTACTTCGAGTATGAGATGACAACACTTTACATGACTTCTTCCTCTTTTTTTTTTTTTTTCGTCTGATGTTTTCTTTATCACACAACAAATGATCATCTTTCTTTTTTAAAGAGCCTGTAGTTTCATGATCATCATCTTCTTTTACTTCAGATTCTGACATTGAACCAACATTCAACTATACAATTTAATAAAAATATCTTAACATCATATATATAGATAAAGCAATAAAAATAAAATCTTACCAAATCATACATATTTAAATGTCTTTTCTTATTTACACCACCAGAACTAGTTTCAGTGTCATCACTTGATTCATCATTAGCAGGTGGTAAGTCTTGAAGACCCATCTTACGTAAAACTCTTGTTGACATTTTGTATTGAGTGATGTTTAAAAAAAAAAAAAATTTTTATAGAAGTTTCTTACATTATAAATACTGTAAAAACAATTATAATTTTTTTCTTCGAATAATGTTTTATTATGCTATATCAAATAGTGGATTAATGCTGTAAATGGTTAACTTTTAATTTGATTTATTTATTCAACTAAAAAGAACAATTCTAAATGCCACAACTCACAAGGGTTGAGTCAACTTTTTATCTTATCACTTAAAACAGCTGTAATTTTATGGTTAGGGAATTAAATTAGTTTTTACAGTGTGACCTAATACGACATTCTAGCTTGTATTACAATTAAAATAACACTATAGAGTGATGCAAAAACAATGCATGTGGTATTTTCACGGAAACTATAGTATTTTTGTAGTTTTTATACGTATTCATATAGCTCCGATATGGCTTAAGTTGAAGAAAAAACAAATAAGTTCCAATCATAATATTATGCAAAGGACTACCATTCAGATAAATTGTATTTACAATTGAAATAGAGTGACAAAAGATTGTATATTGTAGTAAATAACTGAGGAAGTATTGAATTAAATCGATTTTAGTATAATATAAGCTTCACAACAGTAGTAAGCATTTTTGAATTCTTAAGCAATATAATAATTTCATAAAAAAGGGAAATGCAGGGTAAGCAAATTAATAATGGTGGGAAAAAGAATATAAAAGGGAAACATGAAAAGTATAGAGAGATTGGACGTTTTGTCGCAGAAAAGTCGAGTTACGGGTTAGGTCGTTGGTGTGCGAATAACTTTGGTTTTGTACGACTTAATTAATTTTGTGTTATATTTTTTTATTATACTTTGACTTTGTGTTTTTACGTTATATAAATAAAATAATTATTTAAAAACCTGTACTCGAGAGTAAATACTTTACACACGTCGTGTTATTAAAATTTGTGTGTGCGTCAAGAGTCGAGGTTGGACTACTGGTCCTTTAGTCAATCATAACAATTAGTGTGTGTGCTGGCTAATTTTTGGGCTTAACCTTACTTTAGTAGATATAGGGAAAAGCTATTGTAATATACTTTAATTTGAAGAAAAAAAAAATTTGACTTCTGGATTTGTCTTCATGGTAAATATGACTACCGTTTTCAAAAATATGCTATTTTTGTATTAAAATTCTGTGTTTCGTATTTTATTTTAGTTTAATATACCTGACAAGGGGAGTACACTGATTTGCATAAATATTATATAAATAAAATTGATATAGCATAGTAAGTTAAACTTTGTAAAATATATTATATATATAATATATTACAATAAAATTCTTATTCCCAAAGTTAATATTTCAAGACTTTATATTTAAACGTTAAGTTCTTAATATAAATGACGGGTGGGATGTTTTACTTGACACTCGAATAATAAACTAAAGACAATTTATTCTATTTTTTACTAATGTCATGATTCTATTCCTCATGTACAAATCAAACAATTACATATAATAAGAACATTAACATAAAAAAAGGAATAACATCACCCAGCCACTTGACACTTCTACTGCCGCGTGATATTGCATTGCTTTGAGATCTCCACAACAAGTACTTCTTGGCCGACGTGAACAATCCTGAGTGCCACGATTAATTTTACAGTGACAAGATGCACTAACTCGCCGAACAACAGAAAAAGAAGCACCACCGGTGTGTGGCGCTAAGAACACCAACTCCAAGTATGGATTGAGTATTTAATAACCGTACGTTGGGGCTTCGCCTATACAGGCCGACACAAACCCAACAAAAGAAAACTATGCCAGATCACTGGCTGCAAGTCATTGGACTCAACGGTTCGATATAACGTCAACCGCGGACACAAACGTAAAGACAGCAAGGTGCCGGTAGTGCCGGACACGATTGTTATCATTACAATGAGAGGGGTAATGAGCGATTTCAAGCTATGTGGAGCTTGACCGGGATACACACATAACTTTTGAACATCCTCCCCCTTGGAAGACGACCACGTCTTACAATTTAAGTTGAAACAGTTGATCCATGGAATGGTACAAAGCACTACAGAGCTTGATGGCATGGGTGGATAACTAATAACAGATAATAACAACAATATAAAATATAAAAGAATCCGTATAACAAACACAATCAGTAATGATAACAAATGTATAAAACGGTAACAATGGTATAAATATAAAAATAAATAAATAAATACATGGCAATACATAACCACCAATAAACTTTAATCATATTAGACAAAAAAATAAGTACACCAAAAAAATTGTAAACAAATCCATATGTTAAGATAGAACAATTTTTTTTTATAAACAAGCGCAGGAAATCACCGATCACATCCTTTAAATAAAAATTAACTAATTAATAGTTATTTTCTCTCCCTCCGTGATTTTCCCCCTTTTTTTTTTAACGGACATGATGCAATACCTAAAGATAACGTATGAATATACTAAAATAAATAAATATACTAATAATTAATACAATATACATAATAGAAAATTTTTTACGATAGGTAGGTAACTTGACTATTTTAACTACAGGCCGCATTAACGTTCCATCGCTAGTACTTGACACGCATAATACATTTACTTATAAGTGATCGANCGAAGACGTACAACATACATATAGATCCGACACATATTCCAGATGTATTTCTTTTACTGTAAAACAAATAAATACAGCCACGTATACCATGTACTCCCTCGCCTTTCTTAATCTATGTTCCTTCATGATCATAGGTCCCGCAAAATCCACACCAACTCGGAAGAAAACATGACATTCGGAAACCCGTGAAGTGGGTAAATCGGCCATCACAGGCTGTGGATTTACTCCTGTCAACTTGACACGCATAATACATTTACTTATAAGTGATCGAATAAGTGTATTGACCGACAAGATCCAATATTGTTTGCAAATTAGCGATACTACGATGCGTGAACCGCATCGTGGATGAGTCCTTGGAGTAGACTCCTGTGGCACGCACTCAAGCACGTTTAAACGTTGTTTCAAGAAATTAAATAACTCCAGTACAGTCGGAAAGCGATTTAACAGCTGAGCTTCGAATAATTTAACCGTATGCTTCGGTAAACATCGTGACGCCATCGTAAATAAAATAAAATCTCCAAGATCTGGTAGTTTCATCATATTGAGTAACGATACCCTTTCATCAAAAATCACCAGAAATTTATGTAGATCGGTTAAAGACTCGTTAGACGATTTCGGCGCTGTTAATAGTTTTTCTATTAATGACGCGGCGACTAAACGTGGCTTATCGAAACACGCCTTCAACGTAGCCCACGCAAGTTTATAGTTGTCACCTGAAACTGGTATTCCATTTATTGCTGCTGACGCACTACCCTTTAAACACCCGGCTAAATAATAAAACTTTTCTATGTCCGTAATATTAGGGCGCTGATCCACAGTAGTTATAAAACGATCATAGAATGACAACTATTCAAAAATATCTCCATGAAAGTTAGGCAATGGTATGTCAGGTAACCGCGTAAACGCTGTGCTGGCCGAACTTTGTGTAAGTGAATAATTATTAGTCAACGACTGTTCAGGTCTCCCTATCACAGACGTTTCCGGAACGACTACGTGCGCATTTTGATTATGATGTTCTACAGACTGATCATCAATGTGTTCAGGTTGTACATATCCTCGTTCATGTTAAAATGAACGGAAAGGAGATTAAAAAAAAAATAACCCAGCACAGGGGGGTTGCGGCACAGTGGTGACGTGGCATAGTTGGATCAAGTATAATGATATCTGATAGTGATTAAAATCACTATCAAAATAAAACGCTTCGATGCAAATCTTTAGATAGTGTTTAATTTTAAAAATTTGATTTGTATTATTCCAAAAGCTACATGATCTGCTAGTTCCTTATTAATATCCTGATTAAGATAAAGTATGTCGAATGAAAAAAGGATTATTAAAAAATATTATTTTTCATAAAAAAATTATGTTGATCCATACACTTTTCAATATGTCATAGCATTATAAAGTTAAAAATGTAAAAAATAAAATCGAGAATTTTCACACAATAATAGCATTCGGTAGCCATTTTCACCATGAAGATAAAATAAAGTCCGAAATTTTTTTTTTTGCATAATAAAGAAAATTGCATTAGCTTTAATTTAAGATATATATAAAAGTGTCAGACCTTCCGGAACATTTTCAAAAATAAGGTTGAAAAAATTTTNCTGACTTTCCGGAACACTTTCAAAAGTTAAGTTAAAAAGTAAATTTTTTGTGTAAATGTTGTCATTTTGAGTCCTCCTTGTGAGCATGTAAAGGGTCAAATATAAAAAAAATATATACCAAATGAAAGGTGATGATATTATGCATCTATATAAAAAATAATTATATTGATATGTTTATTTTTGAAAAAGTTATGGCACTTTTAAGTAAATAAAATTGAAAAAATTTCGAAAATAAGCGATTTTTAAATTTGTAATTTTTTTGGAGGTTTCCCCCATTTACGGGGAACGAGGGAANATTTTTAAATTTGTAATTTTTTTGGAGGTTTCCCTCATTTACGGGGAACGAGGAAATTTTTTTCAATTTTTGAGGGTAATGTCTTCGACTAGATACGATTTGTGATCTTTTGACGTATCATTGAAAGAAATCGGTTCGGTGAGAGCTGAGAAAAAGTGGTGACAGACGCAAAAAAAAAAAATAAAAAAAAACACATCTTAGTAAAACCAATACTTTCTCAGCTTCGCATCGAAGCTAAAACTAAAAATACATTTATATATTATGTATAGAACGTTTGAAAATTTATTATAAAACATTAAATAATCATTTTAAACTAGTGTGAATTTTGATATTGAGATATATTCTTTATTATTTTGAATATATCTGGTTTTCTCTTGCATGCTACTCTTAACAAGTCGTCAAGATGTGAATCAGTAAGCCGATTTCTGTACACATTCTTTGCATATTTCATTTTAGAATATGAAGTTTCACATAAATATATTGATGTGAACATTGTTAAAAAAAAGTGAGTACATTTTTGTATGGTTTTGTATTTTCCTGGCACTAAATTCCAAAATTCTATGTACTGTTTTTTTTCTCTTTTTTCTTTGAAAGTAATTTCCAAATTTGTATCATTTTTCAATTCAATAAATTTATCAAATAATTTTGAAATATCAGATACAATTAATGCAGCTAATTGTGTTAAACTACTAAATTTTAAGTGCCAAGGATTTTCTAC